CCAACACCTGGCACTGCAAACCTGTACCACCAGGCTGAGCACCAACATTTTGTAGTGTTGATAAGGTGAACAATTCTTCAGCAATATTTGCAGTGTTAACTGGACAGTGTGATAAAAGCATGTCTAGTTGCTAAAACCAAGCCTTTTTTTTTTTCATAACACCAGACTAACTGAAAAACAAAGATGTGTGTCACATTGGTCATGACTTTGCCTTTCATTCCCTTCTTTTTTGGTCTTTCAGAAGCTATTCGTTCATTCCCTTTTATTGAAAATAGATTTTTTTCATGCAATATATTCTGATTTTGGTTTCTCCCCACCCCCTACTGTCAATTCTTCCACCATGTACCCTCTCATCTAGATAAACATCCATTTTGTCTCTATTTTCTCAAGCCATCTCTTTCTTTTATGTTATTTCTTTATTAAACCCACACAGGGGACACCCAAGCCTGTAGATCAAGGGTCTTTTAGAATGGAGCCACTCTACTATTGAACAGTTCAGGGCTGCTTTAAGTCTTGTCTTCCCTGTTGTTTCTACACTTCCAGGTTGCTGTTTTAGGTGGAATCATTTTGTCTTAGGTAAAGCATTCTAAAACTAATTTTAGACTTTGCCAACTCAGCTGGAGAACAGAGTCCTCACCTCTGAAACCATCAAGGTTTTCCATGAGCACGCTGGTCTGCAGACCCGACTGCAAGTTCAAATCACTAGGGGAACTTTAAAGAACTCACCCATGCACTTAGCCCATCCTGAAGAAATTGATTTAGCCAGTGGGAAGATGGTTTCCCAGTATTAGCTATTTCAGAATCCCTGAAGTGATATTCTAATGCGTGGCCAGGGGACCACAAAGGCTTTGAGGACAACTTAGCTCACTGCATGTCTGAGTTTTGCTCCTTGACCTCGTAAGCCCCAGGGCAAGCAAGGGCTGCTTCAGAAGTCACTGCCTTTCAAAGGCAATTTAAAAAGACAGCCACAGAGCTCACCACCTCACATCAGAGAAAAAGAGAAAGTAAAACTGTAGTCTGCAAGCCAAGTCAAAGGAGGAATCTGAGTCTATTTAAAAGTCCTCTCGAAAGGCACCTGCAACTGACACAGGACTTTGGGTTACGGGGGAAAATGGTTTGCAGGCTTCCTATAGAATTTGGATCTCTCGCTTCTTCCCTGTCCCCAGCTGTATTCAGAGCAAACTCCTGTGTCTAATCATCAGAGCCCAAAGAGAGCTCCCTGGTGCTCTCTGAGGTAAGTGGCAGCGCAGGGGATTCTGAGCGCATGCTCAGAACCTGAACTATCAGGCAGGATGGCTTCTCTAGGGACCTGAGCCAGCTCTGAGAAAGGCGTAAAGGAACACGGGCTCCTGAGCCAGCACCCAAGGCAAGACACTGCACCCCAGCCTCCAGCTTCCTCCTGCAATTGGAGAGTGCTGGAATTTCCAGTGTTTGAGTCTCACCTTCTATTCCCTTAGTGAAAATCCCATTATCTCAAACAGCTGTGTGTCAAGGAAAGACATGAATTGTGTGTCACAACAAAAGGATGGGGGTGCGTGTTTCTCTCGGTAGCCGGAGGCAAAAACCATTTTATCTCACTTTCTTCATTTATAATACAAAGACTTAACTTCCTGCTGAAAGGGATGGGTGTCTACTACTTCAGGGTGGGAAAAGTTTGAAGATGGAAGCAAATCTCCGCAGAAGAGAGTGAAATTTGTAATTACATAGCACAAACACGTATTTAATATAGAAAATGCAAGCAGCCAGATCCCCCAAAAAACGTGTGCAAATGTGACATTAACATATTAGTTGAAATTGACCACTTCAAGATGAACAGATAAAGGGAATGGCAAAGAGGATGGTCACGGGCCCACCGCGTAAACCTTGAAATTGATTTCGGAAGCATCAGAGCTCACTACGAAAGAACTTCACTGTTTAATTAGGATGGCTTGGATCCAGAGTCTATATTTAGGATAAGCTGGAAATTATAGTGTAGAAATGAGAATCACCCAGCAAAGTCTAAATAAGGGAGAGGGGACCCAGTGGAAGAAAAGCCACAGCAAACTATCTGAGCTTTTTGTATTTTCCCAAACGCAAACCGAAAAATTCCTAAAGTCTTTACCTTTTCCTCTGAGGAATGTGTTTTGACTAAAATTCTCTGAATATTAACTTTTCTATTTGCCTTCCTCCATGTTTCGCATGGTTTCCCTCCATACCTGAGGTCTACTGGAGTCTAGATGGATTCGGCATCCTGCCCATAACACATCAGAAGACTCTCATTAAGATTCCAAATGTATAGAAACATATTTTATACCATTAATATTTTGGCTTCTTTTTGTAAGTGGTTGGCAGAAGATCCGTGGCACCGTATCATTAATTTCTTAAATATTCCTGTTTTCTTCTCATCATTGATGTATCATCAAATAAATTAGTTCAGACCCAAAATGTGACAGAGAGAAACATATGATTGATTTTTTTTTTTTAAGTTCAGGGTGTGTTTTGAATGATTTCATATAACTTACCCTGGCTTGCCATCCCATACTTTTGTAAGAGGAGCACGTGGCTACCTCTGCCCAGAACTGTGATTTTTTCAGATGTTGAGGAAGAATCTTTTATGTTTTGCTCTTTTTCTCATCTTCCCAGTGACCTGGCTCTGAACTGAAGAACGCTTGTCAGTAAGTTCACGAAACACAGTTTAAACAATCTAAATAATATACTCTGAACTGTCAGGGAAATGAGTCACCAGCAAATGGACCTTGTCAGAAAAGATGCTGTAATGAACAGTGACCATACAGACAGGAAGACACTTGGAGGACTCGGAGCTTCGAGAACAGAGTTTGAAATTCGTTCAAATGACAGCTACTTGCCTGGGCTGAAGGTCTAATTTTCAATTACAAGGAAGAAAATAGACTAAGTCCAATAGCTCTTAACCTAATTTTAACTAACATACATTGAAGATACTGAGTTCGGAGCTTGTGTATTAATTCCTCAGTCTACCACAATACAACCATATTGTGCTGTACCCCATGGTTCTGACGTCAGGACTCTCATTCAGTTTACAATTCTGGCTTTTATAAGCCTGATCACCATGTGTTCATGAATAGAAAGACCCAGTTGACTTGACTCAGTTCCCTGCTGGTCTATTCATTCCAACTGCCTAGCAGCCATAGGACAGGGACTCTGACCAAGTCATTCATTCTTTGACACATTACCCAATGCTTATTGCATGCATTCTACAGACAAAGAAACTGAAGTGTGATTTGGCGACTTGGTGCCAGAGCCCCCATGCAGATTCACATTTCCTATGCAATCAATCAGGTTCCTGCCCTGGGTCTCCATTGAGATCATTTTGGAAAGTTGAAGCCAATTGGTCCAGGAGTTGTCTAATATTCACATGAAAAAAAGGAGGGGGCACTTTTTGGTGTCTTGGAAGTACTTCAAAAGCCAAGCTCTCAGTCATGGTTCTCTTTTGTGGGGATAGCAGGGCAGCGGTAAACACTATATGTTGTTGTTATTGTGATTGTCTATCAAATTATCTGATGTCTGAAGGCAAGCTTGGTGGTTGTTTTACTTCAAATTGAAAACCCCAAGTCACACACACACACACACACACACACACACACACACACACCACATATATACAGACACACGCACACCCCACACACACACACAACACACAATAACAATAAAACAAGCTCTCTAGTGTATTTTAGCTAGTTAGCTAGAGAGATGGGTTGTGAATTCCACAAAGAAATCGAACTAAGCTGTTGGAAGAACACCAGTCACTGGAACACTACATGCTGATCTACATAAACGAGTGAGTAGTGTGGAGCCCTGGGGAAGAACCCTGTGCATCATGATCCACAGGCTGGCTGGAAGCCTGTCCTTTCGCATGTGCAGTAGCCCTGTGTTTGACAGGAAAATGCTGAGAACTCCAAGAAAAGAAAGGCAAGGTCATTGCTAACACAAACTCCAGAGAAGGAAATGGTGTGCCCAGCACTGCCACCAGGTGGCCATTCCTGGAGGAGATTTCCCAAGTAAAAAGCAGAAACCTCCTGGGAGTTTACTAACGATTAGAATGTAATCAACTCTCAAACCTAGTCTCAGTACACTGCTAAATGACACTGGAGGAGTCAGTCAGCCAAGCCTAGAATTTGAAATTTTAGGGGGGAAAAGTAGTCCATTGTCTTCAGCAAATTAATGGTAAGAAGGGGGAAAATGAATGGATAGTGCTAAGAAGCAGGAAGAAGGGAAAATACTTCAAAAGATAAAGTGTACACCAGTAAAACACACCAAGGTGAGGGGCTCATCTGTATCCTGATTCCAGCAAGCAAACTGTGAAAATGGGAGTGTTTGAGGGGTCTGGGGAAATGTCTCAGTCGGTAAAGTATTTACTGCATAAAGGTAACCTGAGTTTAGCTCAACAGAACCCATGTGAGAAAGCCTATATCTGCAATCCCAGTGCTGAGAAGTCAGGGCCAGGAGGGTCCTGGATATCACTGGCCAGACAGTCTAGCCTGATTAGCGAGCTCCAAGTTCCATGAGATACCTTATCTTCAAAAATGAAATTATCAAGGAAGGCATCCAACATCGACCTCTGGTATACACACATGGATGCACACACACAGCATGTACAGGTGTACAAAGGAGAGTGTACACACATACACACACCATATGAACCAAAAAGCTGGGACAAGTAGTTGGGTCTGGATATCTCGTGATAATAGGAAAATGTTCATTTAGTTGATAGTGGTACTGGAGTTTACCTTTAAGGGAACACTTTAACTAATGGGGGGGGTGGCATCCATTGGTTGATGATCAAATACCAAATGCTTTAAAGCAGCTCAGCAAGGCAGGAATTTAAGAATGGATGGAAAGAGACTGGGAGACTCTCACTGGGAAATCTTCAGAATCATATAGTTGAAGGTATGTCTAAAATATGTTATAAAGACTGATAACCTACAGGGGAAATTACCGGTGATTCTAAACTAAATACTATGATATATTAATATATTTTTCAGCCAGCAAGTGGACATTTCCTGAGCTTCTCATATCACTTCATATTGGCTGCTGCTATCTGTGCTGCATTTCACAGCATTCATCATTCATCAAATCTTACAAAAGAAAGGTGGCTTTTGGAAGATTAATAGTTTAGTCAACTCCATTTTAAAAGGCTAATAGTATTAAGATTCCATTTTGTCTCCTTTGGTTAGGGGCTTTTGCTTGGCCAGTAAGAAAAATCAACATGGAGGTAGCATCGGTCTGTAGCAATCAGAATGAAGTTGAGAATGTAGTCTCAGATGCAAAACAGCTAGACTTTAATATTTTGTTTTATTTTGGAGGCATGCAAAGCAATGGGTTCCTTTATGGCATGTTCTTATATGCATGCCATTGTGCTTTGCTTATGTTTACCCCGTAACCCCTGCCTCCCCCCTTCTGCCAATATTCTATATCATTCCCCCCAAATAGTCCCCTTCTCACTTCTAGTCATTTAAACATTATAGATAGATGCAAGCACAAACAATGCACAGATAGAGGTATTTAACCTTTCCAGGTATAAGAAAGAACAAGCAGTGTTTTTTTTTTTTAAATAGAAACATCTTCAATATGAGCTGAGCAGCTGCACACATACCCTTCCCCCATGCATACCGACCTCCCCAGTGGGTCAAACCACAGATTCCTGAAGGAAGGCTGACTTCTCCTCATCTCCACACAAGGTTGCATGTCTCCCACACTACCCAGAAACCAAAATGGCATCCTGTCCCTGTCTTACAAAGCATCCATTCTTTTCTTTAAACATGTTTTCCTTTTGCATTTTTTCCACATGTTTAGAATACACCAATGTTTTTTAGCCTCAAACAGAACATGAACAACCAATTAAAGTCATCCTAATGTAATGTTTTGTCTAAGACCACATCATATGATGTTCATATATATTTTTTTATTATTTTAAAAAACCTTTTCTATCTTGGCTCAAAAATCCTACATTCTTTAAACAGTTTAAGTATGTATGTGAATGTGTGTCAGTGCAAGTAAGTGCAGGTTACCTGGGAGACCAGAAGGGGCATCATACCCTTGCTGCTGGAGTTACAGGCAGTTGGGAGATGTCTGAGATGACTAGTGGGAGAAGGACTCTGCACGGACAGCAAGCACTCTGATTGAGCCATCTATCTAACCCAGTACCTCCTCTTGCACTGGCACCATCAGAGCCCATCCCTAAAACATGGCTTACTGACTGATCTCTTTGTTTTCAAGTTATAAACACAGCCACCATTTTGTAAAATCAAAGGTGTCATGGACATTGACTTCATCCCCCAGTATATTATTCTTTGTTCTGACTACATTGACTTATTTTTTGTTGACACCATCTCTCCAAAAAACAGGAAATAGGCATGTGAGTGAATCCTCTAGTTCTCTTTTTTAAAAAATAATCACTCTCTAGACTCATCTTAATATATTTTGCTACTCCTTGGGGAAACAAAAACAAAATACTCTGAAAGTCAAATGAGCCTTTTATATTTAAATTTCAAGTACATTGATGCTCAAGATCACACCTTGTTCATTGGTCCACCAGAAGCCAAAGCAGAAGTCATTGAATGAAATCGGACCCTAGTCTCCTTTGATTTCCCGATAGTATTTTGTGAGAATAAAACTCTAACTAGTGAGTGTGATCGTTGGTTTAGAAAGTGTTATAGACTGGAAGGCAGGCAAATGTCCAAACAGGAAAGGTAATGAAGATTTTAACAAATTTTTAAAATTATTATCTCACTAAAATAGCTTCATAATCATCTCTAAAAATCTTTCTTAATTTCTTAAAACTTTGTGTTCTGTTTCATATGCCTTAGGGTGGTGGGAGAGATGAAAATATCAAATGCAGCAATACCTCTTATAAACTGAACATTTTATGTCTCTGACTCAAGATTACTTCATGGGCTTGTGCTGGAAGATTATTGGATTCTTTTGATGAGATATTGGATATTTCCAACAAGAGGGTAAGTGGTACAATACCTCTGAGAGAGACTGGCCTGAAAGCTACATTGGCTTCTTGTTTTAAGCATGTGCCTAATCTATTATTAAGCTCCAATGAGAGGCACTACTTTACAGTCTGGGCATAGAACTCAGCACAGCCATTCCTAAGTTGGTGACCAGAAAACTTAATTCCATTACTCAATTCCCCATTTTAAAACTACCATGAGTCATGCTAGTGTGCATAAGATGCATGCAATTCAGAACAGAAATAGGGTGAGATCATCAAGTAAGGCCAACCAACAGGGGGCACCCTTCCCTGTGCCACATCATAGCCAGTCCATAGCCACCCTCTTCTACTCCTGCCTGTAGGACTCTGCTCTACCCAGGAGTGGGAAATGCAGGCAGGGTGCCACTTTCCTACCTCATACCTACAGGCACCTTCCTATGTGAATCCTCTACACATATTCCCTCTGCCAAGAAAATGCCTTCCTGTGGGGGTCACTCTGCCAATACTGCATGTCTATCAATTACCCAGAAAGGCTTTTTACCCCTTACTAATCCCACTCTGTGAATATAAGATCTCGATGAAGTTTCCTTCTAACTCCTGTGCCTTTGGTGAGTAACCAGCAGGTTTTAGGGCAAAGACAAGGCCTGTTTACCTTAGTCTGGCTACTTACTATGAGTCAATATGGAAAAGGGTAGGCCCTCCAATCCATGGTTGCCCTTGCTTGATCACCAAAGTGATTCTTAGCTCCAGCTGTCAGGAGAGGTTACAGCAGGCTCAAGCATAAGGCGGACAGCCACAAGGAAGGGAACACATTTGGCCTAAAGCTCTGGCCTAGAGTGACCATCCCATCCCCAGCTATGAAGGATTGGCAGGCAAATTGGGCTTCCCGCCTGGATGCAATTAACTATGGACAGCCTCCAGGACTCCATATGCAAAGAAGCCCATAATGCTACCTTAGTTCCTTTGCAAAGACATCTTTAAAAAAAAAATCTCATGTGGGGATAGAAATATCTGAGACAAGGTGGCCTCAGCTGACCACTGGGTCACCATGGAGGCTCCTGGTCACAAACCACTATACATTAATCACCCTGACAGCAGCAGTTAGTTACAAAGCATGCATTGTCCGAAAGGAGCCCTGCATTCCCATGCTGGTATGAGAACTGGTAAGAGGAAGGATAATTGGAAGCATTTTGGGGGGTGGAGGAACTACTAATACTCCATACCCCAGCTCCCTTCCCCTAGAAATACAAAATGTCTGCATTTCATACATTCGTTTCGTAAGTATGTGTGAGACCTGATGCTGGAGAGAAACCCTTAAACAATCAGCATTCAAGAGGAAATGGAATACACAGACATTCGAGCATTGAGCAATTAAGAGAGACAAAAAACATTTAAAAACAAACGCAAACCTTATCGTCTGCTTCTAAGTGGCTTGTCACCAACTGGACAGATGCATAAGCCCACTATCGGGACATTTTGGGGAGATACTGGGTGATTGGTGGGTCCTCAGAAGTGGAATGAGAGCCTGGGCGGATGCAGCTTCATTGAAGACTGAAGGAGATGCTGGGAGGTGAGACCTTTAAGGTCCTTTGTTAACAAGGAAGGGATTCCATGTAGAAGAGAGTGAACTCTATTAAGAGGGTCACTTGATTTTTAAGACAAAAGATTACGAAAGAATCATGAACTATACATGAATCTGGTAGATCAGAACTACGCTGTGAGCTGACTAAATCCTCAACCATGTAGCAGGTTCTGCTCTATTATTTGCTGCCAAGAGAGAATAACTCTTGGTTTCAAGGCTTAAAGGGTGACCAGGGACTATTTGCCAGTGGTGGTAGGGTGTCTTATGGGATACACAGACACACTGAGCTTGAGATGAGGGGCCCTACAGATATGTCTGGGAGCCTCATCCAGGAGAACTCAGAAGCACTCATCTGAGTTGATGCTCATAACTTCTGGTCCAAGCATCTCTATGTCCAGCCTGGCACCCTGTATCAAAAACTGTAGCTCAGGGACCGTTTTAGGACCCACACTATGTCAGGAAAGTCCAACGAGGAAGGGCATGGCTATGCCAGGGCAACTAACAACACGTAGATATTGCACAGAGAGAAGTGACTGCCACGGGACAAACACTTTTCTGTGTGATAAGTAAGATGTAAGTTGTCATTGCCATCATTGAACCTAGAACTGAATGACTTTACCTAGCTCTGAAATAAAGCCCATCACCACATGGGATGCTTGGTGGAGAGATTAAATTAGTGCTTTCTGGAGAGTTCTGTTAATAAAGGCTACTTCAGATTTGAAGGGAGCTATGTATGGTATGATGTCAGAGACATGGGCAACAGTGCTTTCCAACAGAATCTGGAGAGTATGTTAGAGTTGCATTCTCATGGCTCCCCTTTATCTTTAAGGCCGTGAACCTGAGTGGAGCCCAGAATAGGTGTTTGGGAAAAACTTCTCAGGACACTCAGGGCATCTGGGGTAGGACATCTGATTATCAATCATGACAGAAAGGAATGCTGGGAACTGCATTGCCAGCACAGGGTTCTGCTTGAATTTCGGGGGCATGGTGATGAGCCCAACCTAGGCTCAGGAAAGGGTCAGCACCACCAAAGGGAATGAAGAAAACAGAGGGGCCTGGAATATGATAAACGGCTCCTTTACCTGAGTCCCAGGGTCCAGTGAGGAAAAGAAGGCTGGCACTGGTGGGGCAACACAAACCAAAGCTCAAGGAGAGGTGTTATCAGCCATATTGTACACACGATAATCCTGAATGAAATAAAAATATTAAGATCCCGGTGAAGCGGAAACAGTAATTCATGAATGTGTCTAAGTTCAGAACTCACTAACCATGTGGGCTTCTCCCGTGAATATTACTGCATTTAACCTTCCCAATTACCCTGTCATGGAACTCAGTCTCAGAATTATGCAAATTCTCCAAAGCAACATATCCAGAGGGAAGGCAAAGCCAGACTCCGAATCAATGCTTCTGGATTCACCAATCCTTAGCACAACGTCTCCGGACTTCTGTTCACTGAAAAATAATCTAACAAAAATTTCTTTCCAAGGAACAAACAAATCCCTTACATGGTCATTGCCACTCCAGGATATAGCTACCTGTCTTTTTGTTGCCTGGGAAGGGCGATTGTGGTCAGCGTGTATTGTGTACTTGTATCAAAGTGTCCTAGAATCATCGCTTTGTATAACCGAGAAACACCAACAAGAACCGTCTCATAAATAATGGTTTACTCAGCTCCTAGCTGATTTTTAGAACTGGGGAAAAAAAAAAAAAAAAAAAAACGGGAAGACACGAACATTTCGAACACAACCCAGATGTGGTGTGTACACAGCACTGGAGCCCTTGAAAGAAGCGTTTGCTCAATTTGCTTTGGTTTGCTATTTGTTTTTTGAGACAGGTTCTTGTTGAGTAGCTTTGGGGAAACTGGTATTCACCATGCAGCCCAGGCTGAGCTCAAACTTACAGTTGTTGGGATTCTAGGCTTCCGACATGACACCCAGCTGGGAGGCAGGTTGAAAATCTGCATTTATTACTGCTACATGACCCTTATGCAGTTTGGGTTCCTGCTCCTTTGTTTGGGGCCCAGCTCCCTAAAGCTCCAGCCTTTCTAACCCATTTTAAAAGTTCCACAGCGACACCTGCTGGACGAAGGCTCAGCTCAGGTCCGGGTCCCCGGCAGTAGCGCTCCTGCAGCTGCAGTGTGGGTGATATTCAAGTTGTCCTGCCATCACCACTGTCCTTACCCACGGAGCAGGCGATGGGAGTCACGTTGAAGCTGAGTTCTCACACGATTAGCACCCAGACTCCGGGTCCTTACGGCCTAGGCTGGAGTTCTACCCGCATTTATGACCGGAAGTCCCCAAAGGACAGCCATCATCAGGCAACCGGGCCTCTGCTCCAGCTCTGAGAGCCTTCTCCGCTTGCTGAAGTTAACTGTCTCCCTGCACACCCTTCCTGACTCCTTGTTTGTTTCCCTCTGGCTCTCCAGGGTTCTTGACTTAATAACAAGGTAAAACCGAGGAGTCCCCCAGCACGACCGGGAAGGCGACGACTTCTGCACCAAGTGCCAAAATGTTTTAGAAATAAATGGCAGAAAGCAGAGTCTTGCGGATTTCACCAGGCAAGATAGTAATTTGTGCGGTGTATTTTTAACTGTGAGGGTTGATGGGGAAACCACTTAAATGCAATGTGAAGTGAAGATTTGTCAGTTCTGCAGCTTGTTCCATGGCAGATAGAGGTGTGTGTGTGTGTGTGTGTGTGTGTGTGTGTGTGTGTGTGAATCAGCTCTTCTTTGAGTCCCGACTCCCCTTGTTGCTGGGAACTTTCTGCTGTTTGGGATGAGGTTTCTGAGAAACAATCAGAGCTCTGGGCTGTCTATCAAATGGCTATGAAGCTCTGTTGCTCCATGTTTGTTTTCCCCGGTTTTTTTGTTATTATTGTTTTGTTCTGTTTGATGTTTATTTCGTTTTCTTGTTTGTTTGTTTGTTTTTATCATAGACTCTGATGTTGGGACAGTTTGATACTCAGGGCTTTCCCAAAACCTATGTATCTAAACATCATTGACCATACTCAGAAATTCTTTACTGCCCTGAGTTCCTGCCCTGCTTATCCAAAGGCCTCATTTGGAGACCAAGATAGACTTTACTAAGTCTGGATCTCTCCACGGGAGAGTCACATAGGAACAACTAGCCTCTAATTCCCTCCTAGGATGTATTGTAAAAGTTGAGCATTTATTATTGTCAGAAAAACCGACTCTAAAAGCCCTGTAAACACTGAGGCACATACTTTCCCCACGCCTCCCAAGGATACAAGTCTCTGTCTCCGGTCACCTCTCCCACACACACACACGCTTTCCTGAAAACCAGACCTCAATAATCATCCTTAGAAATGGACTCAAATTTCTTTGAAAATTTTCTTGTTTTATCGAAGAGATTTCCTCATGGGTGCATCGCGCCCTCTTGTGGCAACTTTAAAAGTTGCAACCCGTGTTTATTTTATTGGTTTTTTGTTTTTTGTTTTGTTTTTTTTTTTGTT